ATGCCCAGTGTGATGTGAAACAAACCCAGGTCCTGGTAATATACTAAGACTGATTAACAAAGAAGTCATGTACATCAAGGTTCACTCAGATTTATGAATGCAGTTTCTGAGCAAGTATACATGTATGACAAATAGTTTTGTTGCACTTGTGTACTCTGAGATTCTGAACATGGGTCAGTGGAAGTTTTTAGTTGTCAGTACAAAACTAGATTATGGGAAATCACTTGATGATGAGTTGTACCCACAAAGAGTACATATTTATTCACCTGTTTGCAGATGTTCCTTGTACTACCTGTATTTTATAATCAAATAACGGGGACTGTGACATTTCATGTCTTGTTTTAAAAATTTTACATTACTGAAAAAATACATATCTCTGACATTATACAGAGCTATAGTAACAGATTTTGATCTTCTACAATCCATGGTCAAAATCGGATTCTTTAGTGCTCACACACTTTGTCATGCATGTGTACTTACAAATTTGCTCAAATTTTTTGTGAATTTTTGGGTAAATTATTTTTTCTATTTTATCTATAGATGTGGAATACTGTGGAATACTTTATTTTCGCTGGAATTAATTTTTGCTGAAAAGGCTTTTTGGGCGTTTCGTATGGAATTTATTTTCACTGATTTTTGATGAGTTTAATGTGAAATATAGGGGAAAAAGTATATTCGCTGGGTTTTATTTTTACGGAATCATCCTTTCAGCGAAAATAGCGAAAATAAATTCCAAGCGAAAATAAAGTATTCTATAGTAGTTAGCAAACGATTGATATATGCAAATTAGATGGTATTGGTAGTCATTAGCCTTGTATCATATAGCTTTGGTATGGAGCATTTTTTAATTTGACATGTTTCATCTCTATTTATTGATTCTCTGGTGCCAAAAGTTAGGCCGCCAACTGAATTAAGTTTTACTCGTTATTAACAACAATGGGACCTTTATGGTCTCGTACATTGCAGGTCACTGTCTAAAGACCTATCTGGTGAAAATTCGCAAAAATAATTGCATTTTCAGCAAAAACATTACATCACATCTTGAGATTACATCATGAGCTTACTGTAGATTTTCAACTCATGTGAGTTGCGAAACATATCGTTTGTATTTAAGGTAAATCTCTGGATTCTAAGCTGTAAACACATGGCACAGAGGGAGCATGTCTATGGATCTGATGCTCCAAACTGAAGTCATAGAATCAAGGACTAGACTTTCTTCACATACATAATATTGTTTTATTTCCTTGTAGGCGTTTTCCAACTACCATTACCGATAACCAGCGATGGGTTCGCGAGAGAAGTCATGAAGCATATGCTAAAAATTACAGTATCGTATTCCCACATGATGAACCTTTAGCGGGCAGAAATATGCGATGTGATCCTTTTCACAAGGTAGAAAGCTGTCTTTGTATAACATTGTTCTGTAGTTTATGACAAAAGCACAAAAATGTTAAATAAAACCTTTAAAAAATGATTATCAATAATGTAGTTCTACATGTTGTTTTAGGATTTACAAGATGCTGGATGTATTTATCAGGAGAGACATGGTTGGGAACGACCAGGATGGTTCTCAGAAGATCCAGCACCAGTAAGAAATACCTCTATTCAAATATGCAAAACTATCACTCAATATGCAAAACAGTCACTTAATATGCAAACAGTCACTTAATATGCAAAACAGTCATTTGATATGCAAAACTATCACTTAATATGCCAGTCACTTAATATGCCAAACAGTCACTTAATATGCAAGACAGTCACTTAATATGCAAAACAGTCACTTAATATGCAAAACTATCAATTGATGTGCAAAACAGTTACTTAATATGCAAAACAGCCACATAAAGGCACACACATTCTTGACATTTTGCTGAGCAAAAGGTTGCATCAAATAACTGATGCAGAGCAAATAAAAATAAAGGCTACCTGAACTTGTTTCCATAGAAACAATGACCTTGCAATTTCCCCACAGCATGCCCTTGTTTGGTGGCCATGTTGGAATTAAAATTTGGTGCAAATGTAAAAAAAAAATGCTTTTTTCTTGACAGCTTTTGGATTATGATTACTATGGGTCTTATGACATCCGTAAGAACACAGATTATGAATATGAAAGAAGATTAACTGATGAGTATACATTTGATTGGCCACCCCATCATCATATTGTAAGTATCATGGTTCTGCCGCTAATATAGCTATACCGTATTTGCTCTATTAGAAGTGCACTTCCATAGAGACCCATAGAAAGCCAAAATCGCATTTGTTTTAAAATATTACTTATTTTGACCATAAAAACTCCTAAATTCTTAAATTTACATAAGTGTATGCACTACTAATTAAGCAAATACGATATGGTGAATATTTTTATTGTTTGATACTTAATCCCTTGAGTTCTATATTATTCCAACCCAATTTTGGTGTTACATTTTGCGCATTTTAATGTATGTTAAATTTCCTAAATTGGTAATTTTGGAACAAATGAACATAAATATTTCTCATTGATCAAAATTTTTGAAAAATTATGCAAATTATTGAAGTTTAGTTATTTGTAATTATGAAATATTCCTCTGATTATTAAATCCAGTGTTCTCCACCTGGGATTTTCAACCTGACAACCTGTCCATCATTGAGTGTTACGGTCGCCTAGTTACTGTCAATAACTGTTATTTTTTGCTGCAAAAATTGCAGCATTTAAGAACCTTTAACTTGGGGAAAATAAGACGAAATAAGAGCCTTCAGCTTACTGTCAGGTTCCCTAATATGGACAACATATTGCATACAACATGTTCCAGAGATTTTGGTTTCAACATTTTTTTTTTTACAGATTGGAAAAGAGTGTAAAGCGTGCCGTGAAGCAGTTGCTGTATTCAACATGTCATATTTTGGTAAATTTCATCTGGTTGGTCCTGATGCTCAGAAAGCAGTTGATTGGATATTCACAAATGATATGTCTAAGCCGGAAGGTGTGTTCAGAGTTTAGACTACCCAGTGTGACAGCATTGTGGGCTCATATAATCAATCATTAACCTTTTTTATCACCATAAATAGTGACAAATTGCTCATGATTTAATAAATATTGTCTAAAGTAATCAGGCCTTTGACTAAAATGTCTGTTGCTAATGCTAATGCTAGCTGAGCAATGGCAAGTTTTGTACTTTTTTACAAAATAAAAATTTTGTTTTTAACCTTTTCACCACCATTTCCCTCTTTTTATCACAAATTCACAAAATATTTCTGTTTATAGTCTGCACTATTTTCAAAAGATTATGACTAAAATAGCCAAACAATTTTGAGTAAAAACTGAAAATTGACTCAAATTTTGTCTGTTGGCTCCAAATTTAGTGTTCATTTCCAGGAATATTGAAGAATATAAAAAAAAGTGCAGTAAAATTTGGACGAAAAAGTCTGGTGGTGAAAAGGTTAATAGTATTTGCTCTATTTGTAGAAGATAATTTGAAAGTGATGTGTCTGTGGATAAAATTTTAAAATAAGTCATATTTTTGTGATCCACTGTACAATGAATGCAATGAAACTTCACAAACGTGAATGCGACTCGTTAAATCCTAATGAAGTGTTATCTGCTACAAAGTTTTCAATTTTCTCTGGATCACAAACTATACCATATTCACAATGTATCACAATTTGAAAATAACATAAGTGTGAACGCTGATACATTAAACAACATTTGTGTTTAAAAGCAAGCACTTTGTACTGGGGATTAACGCTCATTTTCAGAGCCTAGACTTTAATTCAGGACTAAATACAGCAACACAGAGACAAACAATTGTATTCTGGGTCTAATGCTCATGATCTGAGACTAACACTTTTATTCATGACTAACGCTCAAAGTTAAAGATGAACACTATTATTCCGGGACTGATGTTCATACATGTATTTGAAAACTAACACTCATTTAAGGGAATGAATACCTACAAAATTGTGTCTGATTGGCTACCCAATTCTAACACATAACAGTCTGACCAATCAGAGAGCAGCTTGTTGACAGGTTTTTTCGACGTATCAAATTTTGCCTATTATATGTTTTGACTGATTTGTATCTTTGGGGATGAATGCTTGTTTTAACACATTAACAAGGGACAAACACTCATATTCAGTGATAGCCAGTTTTATTAGAGACATTAAGATGCGCGAACGGAACGAGAACGGATATGTCATTACTTTGTGCATGACCTCCGCGCGAACCAATGACGTCATCGGTTGCCATGTCGTACGGCAGTCGTTTTGAACGTGATCAGGACGAGTGACTCGTAGTTGATTTCCGAGAGCTTTTCTCGCTGTCAATTTTGATTATTTTTTACTGACATTAATAGGACGTATTATATTAGAGTGATTTTGTATATTTATGATGAAATAAGAAATATTGGATGCATTTTAGCTGATATTTACACCTACTGAAATTGTAAACAACTGGTCAGCTCGTTATGTAAACAAAGCAGACTACGGCGTTTATGTTCACTTGTCGAAAAGTGACGCATACTGATCAGTTTAAACGGAAAAATGTATTGTTCTTAAATCATGCCTGAATGGCCACTCCCGTGAAGAGACATGTATTTTGATGGATGGTATCGCATGAACGTAACGCAAACGAAATTAGAACAACACGTTACGTTCCCGCTACGTACGCAAATCTTAAACTCTCTATTTAGACAATAAATTTAAATAGGTGATATCAACTGAACATTGATCTGAAATTTGGTGATCTCTTACAAGATTTCTCTCCAAAATGTACACTCATGACAACTGACCGAATTAATTTTCTTTTGACAGGATCCACGTTGTACACATGCATGTGTAATAAATTTGGTGGCGTTGAAAGTGACCTGACAGTTAGTAAATTGGCGCCTGGTGATGGAAGCAGTGTTTTAACCCCTAAATCAGATGGTGAGTCTATTAGTGATTTCAACTCTGTCAGAGGAATTGTAATTTTCGGAATTACGCTTTGGAATCGCATGCTAATTTATGCTAATTTGACATGACGTCTAAGCTCTCCAGCGAATATGTAGTTGATCACTGATCAATGATTGTCAGAATATTTACTTTTCCAAGCGATATTTCAATTTTAGTTTAATTGTTTGGTCTGAAATTATATTGCAGTGATACCATGGTTACCATCACACATTTTGTTTAGAACTCACATAAAAAGATGATGTTCAACATAAATATTTGGACGTTTACCGTACCTTATTAGAAGTGATATTTCACATTAAACATTATAACTGTGAACAATATGTACCAAATCTGTTATATCAGAGGTACATTGCTTGGGGTTTGTTCCGAGTTGGAAACGCTTATGCGAGATTGAAACGGGATCTTGGTATCATGTCACGCTACTTGCAAACCCCAAGTAATGTGCGTCTGGTTATATATAATGTAATGCTGCAAATCTGTACATACTTCATTATGACATTTGGTTTTAAGGTGGGTATGCAAAACAGCCACATAAAGGCAAAACTATCACTTAATATGCAAAACAGTCATTTAATATGCAAAAAAGTCACTTAATATGTAAAATATGAGAAAAACAAGCAGTTTCTCGGATGAGATAGCTCCGCTGTTAGCAATGCACTGTACAATTAAAGAATTGAAGATATCACAAAATAAACAAATTTGAGAGAGGTCTACCTGTACTGGTAGTACCTATACGTATATTATTGGACTTGCTGTTATCAACAAGAAGTCGAAAATATCACTTTTTACAAAAAATAATCATCAAAATTAGATAATTGATGATATCACCACGAAATTAACAAATCTGAAAGAGGTCCACATGTAGTACCTATATATGTAATATAAAAGCAATCAGACTTGCGGTTTTCAACAAGAAGTCAAAAATATCACTTTTTACCAAAAATTAAAAAAATATTCACTAAAATTAGAGAATAAAAGATATCATCACAAAATGAACAAATCTGAGAGAGGACCACATGTAGTACCTATATATGTAATATCAAAGCAATTGGACTTGCGGTTTTTAACAAGAAGTCGAAAATATCACTTTTTACCAAAAATGACAAAAATATTCACCAAAATTAGAGAATTGAAGATATCATCATAAAATGAACAAATCTGAGAGAGGTCTACCCAAGGTACATATACACCAAGTATCAAAGCATTCAGGCTTGTAGTTTTCAAGAAGAAGTCGTCGAAAAAGTAAAACATTGACACGGATGACGACGACGACGACGACGGACAATCACTCATATGATAAGCTCCGCTCGACAAAGTCGACAGCGGAGCTAATAAAAAGTTGACGCGAACGGAACGGACAATCACTCATATGATAAGCTCCGCTCGACAAAGTTGACAGCGATGCTAACAAATTTGGAGATGATTACTTTGGTCAAGAAAAAATTTTCAACGTAAATTTGATTTGCACAAATTCTCTTATTACTCACAGGAATATCGTTCTACATCGCTGCTGGCGGTGGCAACTCACAACAAAGTCTTTCGCATATATTAACCGTAATTCAAGATATGAGCTTCGACTGTGAACTCCTAGAGAACTCGGAAGATATGGGAATGATCAGCATACAGGGTCCTAAAAGGTCAGACAATTTATTGTTTTTCAATATATCTCAATTCTCTGTTTTTGTGGATTAGATTTTTTCATATTGTGCATCTCAAAACTCAAATCCATATTCGTTGCCAGGCTTCTTGTTTAAAAAACTAATCTTAAATTTGAAACAATTTTAAATATTTCCTCTCTGCTGTATACATGTATGCCTCAGCACACAGAAATCTTTTTCTGAGTTTTCTTTAATTAATTTGTTGATCTCTATGGAAAGAACACTTTGGTTTGTTGCTCAATTTCTAAAGAAAACATTCACAGATTAAGCCCAGCATTACATGTACACACTTGTGTTTATATTGTTTTTACTTTGTGCGGTAAGGTCCCTCTGAAGGCAGCTCACTGACAAATTTGCTGTGAAAAAAATGAAAATTATTACTGCATAGTTATTTTGTGTAATAATGAAACTTTTGGTATAATTATTCAAATATAACCATAAAATCCATCAATAATAAAATATGGAATGCCAAAATGCATCTTGGCAGTTATGCAACAACTGCCAAGAAAACTTGATTTTAGAAGGGACTATTTTATCTCATTTGCTTATTAGTTGGAGACTGATACTAATGTTATTCTACAGCAAATGACCGTGTATTCTGCAGTACATACAATTTTGACATCATTCATATGGAAATCAGCCGCCATATTGGGACCTTTATTGGGAGTTGGTAAATAACTACATTTCATACAGAGAGATGGTAATATTATTTTCAAAAAAAGTTGAATAAAAACAAAAACAGTCCAATATTTCAGCTGTTGAGTAGTACCTATACTCTGTTTTTATCTTCAGTCGCCACGTCCTTCAGTCACTGACCACAACAGACCTTAGCAATGAGAATTTTCCTTTTTCGACTCACCAACTGATTAAAGTAGCTGGTCATTTGGTTCGTGCAATTCGTTTGACCTTTGTTGGTGAACTTGGATGGGAACTCCATATACCCAAGGATTACTGCGTTGAGGTGTACAACGCTGTGATGGCGGTTGGCAGTAAATACGGCATCGCTAATGCCGCATACCGGGCTATTGATTCACTGAGTGCTGAGAAAGGTAGGTAACATAATAGACGAGTGTTTGGGAGTTCTCTGGTTAGTCGATCTGTGTTGATTCATTTCTGGTTAGCTTCAGTTTTGAACTGAACGTTTAGTACTGTGGGCATCTATGTTACCTTTAAAAGTTTACAATATGTTTGTAAAATATGGGAATCTGTTTTTCATTCATACATACACAATGTGTATTGTTTATTTATATTGTGGTACCTGTACGCTACGCTACGCTACTCACAAGCAGAACATACCTGTAATACTAAACACACAACAAATTCTTTTTATTTGCTGTAACGAGGGCATCATAAATGCTTTGAAATAAAAAGAGTGGTTATCCATGATAGTTTCCATGGAAACAAAATGTACGTCACTTGGGTAGCTGTAATTAAGTCTTTATTAAAAAGATACAGATGAACTTAGTTGCATTGTACATATTATTACTCACAGACTTATATTTATAAAGTTTACATCCTGTTCAGATTTCATTGGTGAAATATACAGAAAATAAATTTGAATAAAACATTGTACCAAAATATTTAGGAAATACAAGCAGACTAAACTTATCGATGATTCTTTTAGTTGGTTTCTGATTACCATATAACTTTTTTTCGTCAAGGTTATCGTCATTGGCATGCCGATTTGAGGATGGACGACACACCGTTGGAAGCTAATCTTGGCTTTACGTGTAAACTCAAGAAACCAACTCCATTCCTGGGACGAGAAGCACTGGAAACACAAAAAAAGGAAGGGCTGAAGAGGAAACTGGCTTGCTTCACTGTTGATGGGTATGTTGTGGAGTTTCTTCCACCGAAACTTTTTGTAATTTTCATTTATAAATTCAACGTTTCAAAAGTGATTTTGAGTGTGAAGACGACTACATATCTTGATAAAAATATGAAAGAAATTATATAAATTTTATTTTGATGTCAACAGGGTTGAATTGCATTATTTTGTAAAACAACAAATCAACTGAATCATAGTGCAAAACCCTAAGATTGAAGTTATACTATAAATTCAATGGTCTTTTACAGATAGTGAGTCACAGTAATTTTTGTGAAATTGAGCCTTCTGGAAACAATATTTTTTTGGTAGAAATATTACCGATGTAATTTTCGTTTGATTTCCTTCACAGGTACACACCCTTGCATGGATTAGAAGGCATCTGGAGAAACGGAAAGTCGGTCGGATTTTTGCGCAATGCACAGTATGCATTTGCATTGGGGAAAACTATCTGTTATGGATATGTCACCGACCCAGAAGGTGCCGTCGTCAACAACGCTTATTTGAAAGCAGGTGAATATCAAATTGAGGGCATGGGAGTGAATTTTCCAGCAACGTTGCACGTGAAGTCACCATTTGATCCAAAGAATAATCGAATTAAAGGAATCTATGACGATGGAATTACAGTACATATACCGAAACCAAAGAAATTAGTGGATGTTGTACTTTAAATACCTGCTACCCCTATATTTTAATATTATTATCTATTTTAACTCTATGGTTGGGTGATACCATATTAAGAAAATAGGGGTTGATTTTACTCCTTACGTACATGGCTGGGTGGGTGGCTGAAAAAGACACTGAAGGCAGAAATAGAACAATTTTCTTATTTTTCAGCATCAGCTGAAACTTTAACTCTTCATTGTGAAACTTGCAGCTAATCAAATCAATTATTCAAGAAAAAAAAAAATACAGCATACTGTTCTGGAAACATGCCAAAGAACCCACAAGCAAAGGAAAATTATGTAAATTAGGTCCAACATTAACATAAAATATGGGGGGAAGAAAATGTAAAAATCTGAAATATTGCCTTTACAGTCATGACTGTATGTAAAATCTACATCTTCCGTAAGCTGTTAGAAATTTTCTCACTCAAGCAGATGAGTTTGCATTCCAGAATGTTTTTTTCTTACTGCAGCTTTGGGAATTATTCGGACAGTCAGTCAGTTCAAATGGCTTGCAACTTTGCAAAACACTTGCCTATTGATTTGTAATAGATTTGACAGTGCTGTCTGGCTAATAGCTTGCTGTGTGATTCACTATTACATGGGTAGTGTTAACATAATGACTTTATACTAATCTAGTATACGTTTTCAATAACTATTCATTTCTTTAGTATTTTCATTGTATGTGACTCAAGAATGTTAAACCAAAATATTCATTATGATTGATCATTTCATGAAATAATGTTTCAACATGGATTTCAATGGAAATAGTTTTAAAAGAATGTAGATTTTTCCCTAAAAAAAAAAAATATTTTATACTGGGGAAAAACACTGATTAATTGTGTTCAAATCAATAATCATTTAAAACTATTGAAAAATTGTAATAAATTTCTCCCTTCTATTAAATAGATGAAATGTCCACAGATAGTCTAGGGATATTTACAAGGTGATATTAAGACAGTGACAATGTGCTAATATACCGGTATAAACAACAGTTGTGTTTCTATGATCAAATAAGTATTAAATTAATGATTTAGTGTATGACAAATGTCATTTTTTGCTTATATGAACTTTTATGGGAGATTCGCATCAAATAGAGCAAATGCAGTTTTGTCAAAATTGTTGTCTTGTAACTTTTGACAACAATCACTTCAGTATCCAAAAATAATAAAGCTATAAAGCCTCTATTTCAAATCTACTTAGAGTCTCTCTAAAGTAGCAAGTTTTACATTAACTAAAAGTTCAGGATATTGTATTACAACGGAAGACGCAAACTTTGCACAAGGTCAGTCATTCTCTGAACTTTGAGTCTGCAGAGTGAGCATGTACTTATTTTTTCACCACAGCTTTCTTATTAACCAATTAGAGCGCATACATTTCTGTAAAGTGGTCTGATTGGTTCCTGTAAAATTTAAATGTGAAAGCAACTGTATACTCTACTTTCATTGGATTAGCAGGCGTTTCAATTCCTTGTATACAATGTGCAATCAATATCGAACACGTGGCACGAAGTCTACTGCTCTTGAATAAGAGCACCTGACCTGACCTGACCTGACCTCACCTCTATGATGACGGTGAAGTATCAAAAACAGACTAGCTAAACTTGGCAATCTGTGAGCCGAGCTGTTCTGTTTATTTTACCTTTGTTGCATATCGCCAATTAACCAAGTTTCTCCAGTCATAAGAATTGGTTAATTCAGGTAATTATATAAATTAGTAAAGACAATATTTAACCCTAAACTAAACATTTAAATGGCTTATCCCAGAGCACCTATCTGATTATTGGTTCTTGAAATATAAGCGGAAAAGCCAAAAATGTGGGAAATTATGCAAATAATATGCACTAGTCAGGTTTGTGCATTGTATCGCAGCATCTATGTACCAAGTTTCATTGTAATGCAATTTTTAACTTTTGGGAATGGCTAATTGTTATGCAAATTAGCTAATTAATATTCAGATTTTAACCAAAAACTAATCAGCTCTATGCATTGTCTCAGTACTACATGCATCATGTTGCATTGAAATGATAATTGGTTTTCAAGACATCAGTAGACCATACACACACACACACATTGGATTAACTTTTAATATAGTTGCGATATGAACTCTATTAAAACGCGTTCCTATATAGGGTTGAGTTTTAATTACTCAATTACAATGCAATGCAACGTAGAATGGAGTTAAATTAACATAGAAATGTTTGCGAAGCTTAGGTTTAGTAAATGGGGTAGGTATGGTACAATTATATCAAAGCAGGAGATTCGTCATCTGCGCGTGCGTAGGATGGCCATAGCGAGTCATGTTCACAAACAAACGTCTACCCATCAGCCTTTGCGTTTTTAATGCACGTTATCACTTGGGACTCAATTCTCACATGCGCAGGTAACAACCCTCTCGCTTTAATATTTAGCTACGCAAACTTGACTTAAATTTGATTAAATATAAATTCTGAAAATAGGGAGGTCGTTACAATGTAGGTCCTGTCACAAGGTTGGTACTACACACTCATACATTAATTGCAAAGATTCGCATTTTGCTTTGCACATGGGAGTGAAAAATATAAAAATGTGAAACAAATAGTATTTTATTTCATTGAAAAAGGTTAACATAACACCACTGAGCGGTGATTAAAGGTATATAATGTACTTGCACATTTGACAAGATATTGTACTGTCTCTATACCCTGGCCATTGTACGAGTAACTTACAGTAGTTGGAAAAGCTGACAATTTACATAATTGCATCTAAATAGCATTCTCTATAATATGATGTTCAGTCTGATGACAGCAGCAGCAACGTGTTCAAAGTTAGTTCATGAAGGGCACATGTCAACATCTTGAGCAAAGGAACTAAATAAATCATTAAGATACTATGCAGTGATGTGATAGGTTTTAAAGACTTTCAATGAAAATGAATGAGACAGCAAACTGTGTAATGTACTTATACACAAATTCTGAAACAAGCATGGCATACAAGTTGTCCATAACTCCTTATTTACAGAAAATGCTAGGTAAATTACAGCCCTGTAGTTTCACAATGAACATATACAACTAAATCAATAAAAAATAAGCTTATTCATACAAAACTTTCCCCAGTCCACAGGATGGGGATACATTTAAATATTTTTGAAGAAACAAAGTGTGTTCAAGGTAGAATTGGCTTAATGAACCCAATAAGCAGTTGCTTGGAATTATGAAACTTAATTTATTATGAAACACTCCCCCCGAGAACGCATGAATTACTCGTACATTAAAGACTTATCTTAACATTTTATACATAGAATAATGCTTCTAATGGTTGTGACAATTCGATCACTGATATGCAAATTATTCTTTAAAAATCTCTAGCAAAAATGTTGAACATGCATGTGTACTAAAACTACTGCATTATCTTCACATGCTCAACTCAACGAGAAGCTTATACATCAAATACTTTTAGAGTAATTCATAAAACAGATGTAGCAAATATGATAAAAGTTCACACTCAAGGTACTGTTCCGTTTGGGTCACAACATTTTGGCAGTGGTTTTTTTTTTTTTACTTCTGATTCTTGAGAATGAATGAATCCTCAATTATTCAAACATATACTATCCAAACTACTGTTCATTACTCATGTAATAGTCAATTATCCAAATAAATATAGCTCAGTTCCAGAGTTTGGACAATCCAGGCTCCACTGTATTTTCAAATATTAAAGTTTATTATATATTCCTTAAATTTACCTCTAATTAACTTACAATTTACATTGATAAAGAGAAATCGTTCCAAAAGACAGGACTAGAATGCCAAAATGTAATATAATTAGTGATGGTGTGCACCATGGATTATTTCAGTACTGTGAAAAAACAATTCTACACTGACCACCAGGGAAACCAAATAGTTGTTTCTCTGATTACATCATCAAAGTTGGAAAACAATCAGAAGAAAAAAGTTTGACAGACAATGGATATACTTTTTTTTAATGAATGATACAGGCAAGGTAAGTGCCGAGTCCATATATACGGTTTACTGCACCTATCTTTGGAATGTATTAAAGCGTGCATTGTGCATCAAGTGGGACTATTATTGCTCAGACACATCTGTTCAAAAATATCTTTTTGAAGAAATACATTGATGTACATGTACAGAAGATTTTGTACTTGGATGCTTTGTCAATGAAACAAATTTGTCATTGATATGCCTTTTCAGCACCAGTTCCTTCTTCATCACAAATTTACAAAATATTCCTGTTTATAAGTCTGCACTTTCTTTCAGAAGATTGGGATAAATAAAATAGCCAAATTTTTTTAATAAAAACTGAAAATTGACTCAAATTTGTCTGTGAAAGTCTGCTGGGGAAAAGGATAGAGCAACAGGACATGCAGCAGGACATTTGGCATGACAGTCATTCTCCAACAGTTGGAATCCGGGCAGGATCGATTCTATGGAACGCTACCACCTCTAGGCAAATATTTTGCATGTAACTCGTTAGCATTTTAAAAATAGCAAAATGCTTTTTTTTTCCCAACGAGAAATAATTTCAGAGAGAAATATAATATTTTAGAATACATAAAACATGGTCTATGTACAAGTGAAAAGAAATCAGTTATTTGTAGCGTTCCAGAATATACATCAAGAAGGTTGTGGCATCTGTTGACTGAGGGCGACTGTAGTTTGGCACAAATTGTGAAGCAGGGAAAAATACATGGACTACGTAAGAGCTGTTCGCTCGCTGGCTGGCTGGATCAGTGTACAATACATTCGGTTTATATGAGCATCTGTTTAACATGATTCTAATAAAACAAATAGGGATTACCTTTTTACAGGACTTGAACTTCAGTATTCTAAGAGCACTTGATTTCAAGACCAAAAGACACTAAATATTGGACTAGAAAGGCATCTATGATCTATTTTAAAGCAATCTCTTCTATGAGCTTTGTTTTTATGCCAAGGTTTTCCCACTACAGGTATGTGGTATGTCTAATCAAAGTATGTTACGATATGGTAAGTTTATCCTCATCCGATTGAAGAGGAAGCTCAATTTTTACCTAAAATGAAAATTGCCAGAAATTTATCTCATTCAATTACCTACTTTAGACTGAATAAATTAGCAGTATAAGCCAGTTTTGGCAGATTTCACAACACTGATTTGTTTGGCAGTCAGTTCCGTTGGAAACAAGTGATATTTAGCTTTAAATTAATTTGGATGAGACCATCACAGATATATACATGTACCTCAACAGTGTGATTCTGTATAGATTACTTTTATCTTGAAATACTGTTATCAAACTCATCAGGAAACTATGGAAACAATAATGCAATTTCAGTACAATATACATAATCATGTAGCAGTGTTCTCACCAGATAATAAATATGGGAGGCAGAATTGCTCCAAAAAGAAAATTTCAGAATGTATGACACAATTGCCATCAATGAGACTTGAAGCAGAGAATTGAGGTATTTCCTTCTCTCAAATGCATAATTTCATGAAGAGCATGTTCAATGTGAAAACTTTCATGTATTTATATATTTGACTTGTATTTCCATTTTTTTTTGGTGAAACAATTTTTATCATAGTAAAAAAAAATTTTGAAAAAAAATTAAATTATGAGGCAAATGTTAGAGTACTGACACATACTATTCAAAACAACTAGTATCTATTGGAAGAATTCAAGAAATTTGTATAAAAATTAACCCAATGTCACTGGCTTTCATACAAAGCCATATTATATCATATCACATCGCTCAATGTAAAATAAAATAAATTTGAAATTCTAAGACATTTGGTGTTGTTACTATAAGAATGAAAGATATAACCTAATTTATTGCAAAAACATGTACCCCTGCAACATATTGTTTCTGCAGCAATTTAAAACAAACTTGGCCAACTTATGACAATTATATTGGTTTTTGACAACTAATTCGCAATCTTGGGTTTGATCAAAAGAACCATCATGTGTCTGTGTGTTCTATCTCATTGTATATACCATATTTGCTCTATTAGATGTACATCTCCAACAGAGCAGCATGTGGGATTCTTATATCCAACAAACCCACAGAACCATTTATGCTAATCTTATGCATTTGCTTTTCAAACATTAATTTTTGTCACCTTTTCTCCAGATTTTTTTCAACAGTTTTAATCACGCCTTTATGCAATACAACATTATGTCAATTTGTCAAAGCAAAATTGAAAAAAAATAAAAATGTGCACATTGTATTGTTTTCAAGATATACAGAGTAATGGGCAAACAATAGAATATACTAACACTATGTTTAACTTTTGACACAAGATGAGACACAGTTCACAAATCAAGACGTATTCATCTACACCAAAACATGGGCTTGTCAGGTGGGATAATAAATATAAGTTGTCTTAAATATACACAAGCATTTCGGAATCATGAAAGATAAAGGTGCAGCAAAGAATAGTTATTTTATTACATTTTTAAGTGAATTATTGCATAGGATAGAGAATCTTGGTCAATATACTCTGGCTTGAGTGATTACAGAATTGCAAAACAAAACACTTAAAATTCGATGGAATTTAGAATGAAAGCACAAGAAATTATCATAATGTTCAGCTCTGTATATGCAAAGATTAACTCCCTCCACCCAGAGTAAAAATGAAAATAATAATATTTCTAGACTGCAAGGAAGGTCTCTGTAGTGGAAATACCAGCAAATGAAGTAAATGTTTATAATCTTAATATATCATTTATATACAACGCGTACAATACCATTTGTTACACACTTTGCCCCAGTGTCCAAGCTTTCAAAAGTAGTGATGACCATATCTCAGTAACAGATTATTTGGTTCCCCAGTTGACGCCCAATGTCTTGCGCACATGTTCGTACACTACATAACTGATGCTAACTGCTGGTGCCACTTTCATGAAGTTTGGCATGATTCCTCTGTACAGACCCGTCACACCTTCTTCTTTGACAATAGTCTTGAAAAGTCCCACCATAGTTTGTTGAGATGCTGAAAAAAAGGAAATCAAAGAAAGTATGTCACTTTTTTCTCTAACACCTGTGGTTAAATTCCCAGATGCCAGCATGCCTCTCTGTGAATGAGAAGTTAATAGTGAGTTTACGTTCACGTGTATTGGAAAATGCAGTTTATATTTGTATTGAAACTGTCAGTCTTCCCAGGCAAGACTCTATAAATTTTCCAAATCACCTGCTGAAAACTTCTATGAACAACCAAAATAAAAAGAACAAGCCATGCATGGCACAGTTCCCGTTAGTTATCAAATTTGAGATATATAGTTATGTTTATAGTAATTTAGCTGGAATATAACCATGTCAGGAATATGATTTTTTTAACATTAAAATGATTGACATTTGTATCTGATCCTCAAACAAGTACTTGTCCATATTGAGAGATATTGCTCTGGAACAGCATTCAAAATCAGCCATTTTGAATACATGTGTATATATATATATATATATATATATATAACATGATGTATAACGAATATATAAAATTTGAATATAATCAGTCAAAGCATTTAAGAGATATGGCTCTAGAAGCCCAATCATTAAAACAAAATGGCCGCCAGTCAGCTATTTTGAATCCAATCTGAAAATAAAATGACATGCATCAGGAACCTGTAATGTCTAACGTGTGTTATAAGTTTGAACAAGAAATGCTTGATATTAGAGGATTTTTTTAGCACAAAAATAGCACACTTTGAAAAAGATCATCAAACCAATATATCCGTATATCTGTGACATGATGTATAATGAATATTAAAAATTTGAACATAATCAGACAAAACAAGTCAGACATATGGGTCTGGAAACCCATTCATTAAAACAAAATGGCCGCCAGACAGCCATTTTGAATCTGATCTAAAAAATAAAATGATGTGCATCAGGAACCCGTAATGTCTAATGTATGTACCAAGTTTGAACAAAATCCATCCATAAATGCCAGAAATGCTTGATATTTGATGATTTTTAGTACAAAAATGACAACCATTCGGCCATTTTGAATAGGATCGTCAAACTAATACATCTATGACATGATGTATAATGAATATTTATAATTTGAACATAATCAGTCAAAACAATATATTGGAGATATGGCACGAGAATCACATTGATTAATACTGGCGGCCATTTTGAATGTTATCTGAAAAACAAAATTATTTGCATCAAGATCCCATAATGTCTAATGTATATACCAAGTTTGAGCAAAATCCATCTGTAAACAGCCGAGAAATGGTTGCTTTTTATGATTTTTTAGCACAAAAATGGCCGCCATTTGGCCATCTTGAATCAGATCGTAAAACAAAATGATGTGCATCAAGGTCCTATAATGTCCAACGTATATACAAGGTTTGAACAAAATCCATCTGTAAACATCCGGGAAATGCTCGATTTTGATGATTTTTAGCACAAAAATGGCCGCCATTCGGCCATCTTGAATCAGATCATGAAACAAATTGATGTGCATATGTATGATATCATGTATGATGTATGTGTGAAGTTTGATTGTGATTGGTCCAGGCATTTCTAAGATACAGGTCCGGACGCACAGACGCACGCACGGAGGTCAAAACATAAGTCCCCGTTTTCGGACTGTGTCCGAACGGGGACTAAAAATTACTGTCAGCAGAAGGAGTGTTTCAAGAGACTCATACTTAAGATCCATGTTTCAAACTAAAATGAAGTGATTGATAACCACTTAAATTTCTATATTCAGGAAATTTCATGCAAATAGTCAGTTGATAAATTTGGTATTTCAGGGAAACTTCATGGAAGTCACCCCAATTAAAGGTTCAAAGCTGGAAAATGTTGTGATTTGTTGGGACTCGTAAAATATTAATCTTTGCCACAAATTTCAAGCAAAAGTATTTACAATAAAAGAAAAGCATTTATAATGCACCACATCAATTCTGAGCCAAGAATGAACAATCCATGATAGTGGACAATTCCATGGGAGTGGGAAAACCAGTCAACAATGTTTAAAATTTTTCCAAAAGATAAAGCTGAATTTGAGTGTGGTATGTTAAAAAAGAACCTGTAGACTATTTGAAAAGTTTGATACTTTTTACATTATCGCCTTGATATTGCAAACAGTTCTGCATTGAAAATGTATGTTGGATGCCTTGTAGTTGATATCTCTTAATGGCAAAATGGCCAATTTCTCCAAATGGCAAAATGACCAATATCTCCAAAAGGCAAAATGACCAATATCTCCAAAAGGCGAAAAGACCAATATCTTCAAATGGCAAAATGACCAATTTCTCCAAATGACAAAAATGACCAAATGACCAACCTATCCAAAAGGCAAAAGTACCAATATCCCCAAATGGCAAAATGACCAACATCTCCAACTGGCCAAAATGACCAGTTTCTCCAAATGACAAAATTACCAAAAACTCCAAAAGGCAAAATGACCAATATCTCCAAAAGGCAAAAAGACCAATATCTCCAAATGCCAAATGACCAAAATCTTGAATATGGCAAAATGACTAATATTTCCAAAAGGCAAAATGACCAATATCTCCAACTGGCAAAATGACCAATTTATCCAAATGGCAAAATGACCAATATCTTCAAATGGCAAAATGACCAATATACTCAGGTGGCATAATGACCAAGAATTCGAAATGGTTAAATGATCAATATATTCAGGTGGCATAATGACCAAGAATTCGAAATGGTTAAATGACCAATATCTTCAAATGGTTAAATGACCAATATCTTCAAATGGTAAATGACCAATATCTTCAAATGGTAAATGACCAATATCTTCAAATGGCAAAATGACCAATATCTTCAAATGGCCACATGACCAATATCTCCAACTGGCAAAATGACCAATATCTCCAAAAGGTAAAAAGACCATTATCTCCAAATTGTTAAATGACCAATATCTTCAAATGGCAAAATGACCAATATACTCAGGTGGCATAATGACCAATATACTCAGGTGGCATAATGACCAAGAATTCGAAATGGTTAAATGACCAATATCTTCAAATGGCAAAATGACCAATATACTCAGGTGGCATAATGACCAAGAATTCGAAATGGTTAAATGACCAATATCTTCAAATGGCAAAATGACCAATATTTTGAAAATGACAAAATGGCCAATATCTCCAACTGGCAAAATGACCAGTATCTCCAAATGGCAAGACATAAAGTATAAAAATTAACTGGACTTTAATGGGTCATGTGCAGTGAATAAATATTCAGAAGCAGGAAATGCAACAAACTTCATCTGCCAATTGTATTAGAGCCAACATTTCCCCCTAAAACCTCCCAAACATCAGAGCAATGATGTATGAATTTTTTTGGAACATACCCTTGAATTAAAGAAGTTAACAAATAAATTTATCTAGACATGTGATGTATTTTATATTGCGAATACAATAACATATTGCGAATTCCATCAATGCAAATAACTGCAGGGTGAAATGAATCCACAACATTTAGATGTTCTGAACCACTGTAATTTAAAATATTTACGATTAGATATGCTATAGGTGAATGATAA